ATTTTTTATCTTAATTATAAATTTAAAAATAATAATTTTTAAAAAAATGTATTAATACACTAAATCAAAAAATATATAAATTATTATCCTTTGTTTTACCTACATAAAACATCAGTAAAATAAAGGAACACAAATCTTTCAATTGGAATACAAAGTCCATCTCCCTTACTCTGTGTCTAGAAAAGGTAAGTGTATGCCGACAGCCGGGAAAGAAATTGTGAGAGAGAAAAGAAGAAGACACATAATTAATCCACCTTCTGCCGTACCCCGTAGATTTCTTGACTCATTCTTTTTTCCTTTGGATGATCAATAATGTATCTTTCTAAATCAATTTACACATGGCTCTACTGTTTATCTTTCTAGTTTAGTATATTAAAAAAAAATAATTTTTTAAAGTATTAATTTAAAACTTAAAAAACATCACATTTTACCCTTAATTGGGTTTATAGTTTCCTTGACTCATGGTATAAATACAAGACTGCACAAGGAAGAAAAACTTTATTTGGTGTGGAAATTAGCTGAATCATGGAGACTAACAACTCTAGCCAGTCTCCCAGGCCAAAAGCTCCTGCTCCGTTCCTGGCCAAGACGTATGCGCTGCTAGAGGAAGGTGAAGAAGGTGACGACAATGGATCATACGGTAACAAGAAAATTGTTTCCTGGAATACAGAGGGCACCGGGTTCGTGGTATGGTCTCCAGCTGAGTTCTCAGAGCTCATCTTGCCTAGATATTTCAAGCACAGCAATTTTTCGAGCTTCATTCGACAGCTTAATACATATGTGAGTCTTTTTTAATTCGCATCTCCTATATATATAGTAGATTTGTATGTATTATCTCTCCATGTACATCCTTTGCATGATCCATCTAAAGTCTTAAGTCCGAGATATTTGAAGTCTAAAATTCTTATTGATCGAGATAGCTAGCTATTAGGGGTGCGAGCGAGTCTCTCTTTATTTGATGATTATTGAGGCTTGAACCTCTCTCTCTTTCTTTCTTTCTTTCTTCTTCTTCTTTTATTTTATTTTATTTTATTTTATTTTATTTTATTTTTATGTTAGTTGCACAACGAAAGTAATTTTTTTCAATCCTTATTTTATATCACACTCACATAACATATAATTCAAACTAAAAACTTTTTACTTTCAGCGGAAGAAAATAATTATCGAATTATTTAGGTAGTTAATAGACTTTAACCTTTCTAAATATTGTAAATATGGCAAATTTATACTATGACATATGAACATCTTAATAAGGCAAAATGATTGATAATATATGATAATTATTCTTTGCTGATTAATTTCTAGCCATTATTGTTACACATTTCCCTTTCCATTTATGGAATCTCAAGTAATTCTGGCAATATATATTTTGAACAATTTATTTTGGATATTTAATTTGTTTATTTTTTCATAAATGGAAAAGGGAAATACACTGCTCATTCTTGAAGGTTATGTTCAACTTGGAGACTTCGTAGACTGGTATGTTCAGTCACGGTTGTTGAAATGTTGAATAATCTTGGGAAAAAAAAATTTGTTTTGATTTCGTCTATATCACGTGTTGAAAGTGATAATCTTATATATACAGATATTCGTGTGTGTACACACATTTTAAATGTAGAAGAAAAGATCAATTATTATTGTTATCTCAATAATCATAACTTTTTAGAAAAAAATGTGATAACATTTAAAAGTTTAAAATTTAAGTCTTAACAATTCTATTATCTCAGTTCTCCAATTGTACTAGTTTAAATAAAAAAAATTAAATAAAAGAAATTAGGAGAAGGGAAAGGGATGCAGGTATGTGTTGATTACTCATTCCTTCAACCATGCATCTTAGTCAAAACAAAATACATAGGGTAAATTTAAGGAGTCAAGATTTTGGAAGTCTTAGATCAATTTATATAAATTTTTATTGAAAGATTTAAACTGTACTATACTTGGTATAGTACGGATGGGTTTCATGGCATGTTATGCATATGTAATCTAGTTGGAGTTCCTAGTTTTGTAGTTTGAATTATATTAAACCGTAAATAAAAATTATTAAATTAAAAACAACTCTCAATATATATCAAGAGTCCACCTCATCTAATAGTTTAAGTGCATGAGACTACACTATACTTCTTTTGATGTATCTATATGGTGATGCTATATATAGCTTGTAATTTCCCATTTTCTTGATTTTGGTAGCACCCGAGCTTCTCCGTTGTCTTTATCTATCCCATTTGCACACCTATGACATGAAGTCTGAACCTCTCTCTCTCAACAAAATCGAAAAGAGATTATCATTGGGTCACTTAATTAAATTGTTGATTAATTTGTAATTTTGTTTAGTCTAGTTATTAATATGTGTATTTTGAATTGTAACATGATAATGTATTGATATGTTAATAAATATGATATGAATTGCTTGTAAGTAGTATATGTTTGTTATATTTTGTCGTGCAATTTATAAACACAGGGATTCAAGAAAGTGTCGTCAAAACAATGGGAATTCAAGCACGAGAAGTTTCAGAAAGGATGCAAGCATATGCTGGTGGAGATAACCCGGAAGAAGAGTGAGGTCAGTGTGTTTCCAGCGTTCCTCAAGGCTTCCGGTGAGGAGAGCTTGAGTGCCGAGGAAAGCAATCATCTGGTACTGATGGAGGAGAACAAGAATCTGAGAAGGGAGAAGGTGGAACTAGAGATGCAGATTGCTCAATTTAGAGCAATGGAGATGAAGTTGGTGGATTTTCTTGCTGAACATGTGGGAAATAACAACAAAATAAGGAGATTATGCTAGAACTTTCCCCCCTTCCAGAATGAGGGGGTATATGATCCCAAAGATGTTCTTGGGTCCAAGCTCGGTTTATGAAAGTACTTAAAATACCTTTATAGGATGAGATTCATCATGGGTGTTTTGGCACTTACATGGTCTGGACCGCATAACTATATTCTGAACTGAAAATCAACGTTCTCATATAATTGTGCCAGGACGTTGAACGAACTACATGAGCAACAAATGTTTGCAATAATAGACCCACATTTCCGATAATTTAAATACATATGGATTATACTGCATGCTAGTCCACATTCCAAAATATTCAAGAAGTTATAACATCCAATGAACCATGGAAAAAAATATCGAAGATAAGAAAAACAAGGTAACTGACATAAAGCAAGCTCAGGGTACAAGTATAACGTCACTGGTGAACATCCAACAGAAAACTTGAGCTAAGGTTGGCTGTAAATGATTCTGTATAATCAAAGTTACCCTACTCAGAGAGGGTAGCTTTCAGCTCTCCACTGCTTTGCAGCTCCATTACAATATCACAGCCTCCTATAAGCTCGCCTTTATAATAAAGTTGAGGGAAGGTTGGCCAGTTAGAGAAGACTTTCAGTCCTTGCCTCACTTCTTCATCAGTTAATATGTCAAAGGAACCAAAAGTCACACCTTCCTCCTTCAATGCATTGACGACTTTGGAACTGAAACCACATCTTGGAGCATCAGGAGTCCCCTTCATGAAGAGCATCACTGGTGAAGAAGTAATCAAACTCTTCAAACGGTCCTCAAGACTTTCTTTCTTAATGATTCCTTTCTCAGTTAAAACCTTTTCAAGTTCCCCACTTTTCTGCATCTCCAATACAATGTCTGATCCACCGATGAGTTCTCCTCTAATATATAATTGAGGGTAACTTGACCAATTTGAATGAACTTTGAGCCCTTGACGAACTTCGTCATCGGTTAGTATGTCAAAACTTTCAAAATCAACTTTTTCCTGTCTTAGAATTTCTACTACCTTACGGCTGAAACCGCACTTGGGTTCGTCAGGTTTTCCCTTCATAAACAGCATAACAGGGCTTGAATTAATCAAACTCTCCAGCCGAGAGGTCAGAGTCACACTCAATCCAGTAGATTCTGAGATGCCACCCGTTCCTGGTTCAGTCCCAGCAGCATCAACCCCATGATCTCGGAAAACTTCTTTCAGTTCACCACTCTCATGCATTGCAATTGCTATGTCACACCCTCCGAGAAGTTCTCCTTTACAATAGAGTTGGGGAAATGTTGGCCAGTTAGAGAATTTCTTTAAACCCTCACGAACTTCATTGTCCAAGAGGATATCAAAAGTTCCAAATTTGACCTTCTCATCCCTCAAAATGTCAAC